GCCGTTAGTGAACAGCCCCCTCTTCGGGTCATTCATGTGGTGTGTACTGTGTGTCTTCAAATTTACTTATTGACTTGAACTAATCGAATGGCATGGCGTCGAACTCCACAATGCACTGCTCATAAAGTTGCAACTGAATTCTAATGAAAATTTATATATTATTATATTTTACACCTTTTCATCGTTGTATAAATTTTTTTTTTTTTTTTAAGAAATCCTAAAGGGTGCGATTTCTCTTTTGGGCGCCAGAGTCGGTGTGTACATGTACGGCAGCACACGATATTCAATTTCCGTACTGCCACTGGGGTGATATGGTGGCGGTAATGGTAGCAGCTAGGGAATGTAAAGTCAGTATTATACGTAGAGCAACGGTGGAGCCGAGCGACGGCCAAGGGAGTTAACGGGTCGACGGTTTTGTCGGCGGTGCACACGGAAATCTGACACAAAGATAATGCGGGCGCGAATGATAAACGGTCCGCGCAATAGAATGTCAACCTAATGGATGATCGATGATCCGGTTTCGGGTTGCCCCGGCAGGGCAAGCAAGGGGGGGAGGTGCAGGAAAAGGCTTCAGCACATGCCCTCTCCTCGAGCTCCGCACCTCCCCTCCGGCGCGGCTGCAAGACCGTTTCGGCGTGTTCGAGCAAGTGGAAAACGAACACAACACAAGATGAAAACTCAAACATGGCCGTACGCTTTGGCACGGACCAGAAGAAAATCCAATTAAGCCCCGAGGGCGCTGCCCGGCGCGGCGGACGCAGCAACTCACTTTTTCCCCCTTGGTCCGAAAGTTTTATTTCATTTTTTTTTTGTTATATATTTTTTTCTCTCCCGCGCTATCTCTCAAAATAAACAACATTTTTTTTTTGTCTGCATCTCCGATACACCTAGTTAAAACCAAAACGCTATGTGTACATCTACACAAGATAAATGCGCATATATAGGAACAATGCACCTTTTCCTACACAATTATTGTTGTTTATCTACACAAAATTTAAAACGAACTAATTGATAATAATAATGATTGTTGTTATTATACTATTTTCAAGGTCATATCAATTCAGAAATAAGAAAACTCCCACGATCACTTATCGTAGATAACATCTTATGCATATCAAGTGTTTATAAAAACAGTGTTTTGTAGAAATTCACAAAAAACAGAATATTTTTAATAGTCAATCGCTATTTAATAATCAATTTGTCATATTAACAAAATGTGTATTATTTTCATTACTTAATAAATTTGATACGTTTTTCAGTTAAAAATAACAGTTTTGATCTGCGAAAATTACTTAATATTTCTATAAAATGTTTAATGTAAATTAATGAAGCAAAAAGGACTTGGACGTTTTATGACAATCAATTATGTCGCTCTCGTCGTACACAATGAAGACGGCTTAATAAATTAGACTTTTAAAAAAATTGGGTCACACGATACTATATATGTATTATAATATAATTTAGGAGCGTAATAGCTGTATAAAAGGTCGACCGATCAACCAACGCGTTGTCGGGTGGAGTTTAAAACGGATTTGCTTGAATCGGTCGACGGCAGCCGGCTTTAAACCAAATTTTGGAGGGGGCGAACGAGTCCATTACATTACAGGACCTTCTTCTGATGTATTGAAAATATTTATAGGGAACGTTTGATCTGGTCGTCCACCATTACCCTGCTGTGCAGTATATACGGCTATAAAAGTGCAATGTACTCTCTTACGGGAGAGATGTTAAGTGTTTTTTTAAGTCTCGGTAATTTTCCGCCGGCGTAAGAATAATAATAATTATACACGACGGCGAAGGTGGGAAAAGATTTGTTTGTCTACAATAGAAACATCTAGTGCCTCTACTTATGTCGTCTTGTGAGGAAAATATAATTTACATTTTCAAACCGACATTATAATAATTAGTGTTCGGTACGCTAAAAGTTATTTTTAATTGTCCGCTTAATTTAATACAATAATATATCAAACGATGATATTAGTTAGGATTTCCCGGAAGTCTTTTACACGCTCATACACATGTCGGTTCGCGCGGCATACTATTATTAAAAAGTTCATTATCCTTTTAAATAATAATAATGGATATAATTTAGATACAATTATTTTAATGTGAAACACACTCGGCTAGAGGTATTAATTGTGTTTATCACACGTGTCGGGTCGGATGAAGTTATATTATCATATAGTATTAAACAGTTGTATATTATTATATTATTTAAATCCAAATTAACCTCACCGTTTTGTCGACTTTTTAACTGTTCGAGACATAACTCCGTTTGATTTGAAACAAATAGTTTGTCAAGTCAATTATTTTTGAAAAAAATCCAGTTCAAAAAAAAAATGTCCAGAAAATGATTTGGCCTCATCGTGTTTTCATTATTACTCTTGAATATAGCGACTGTATAATATTATGTACTCTTTCTTATAAATCATTAAAAGTGTAAAGTGACATAATATTACTATGCCCAGGAAAAACTAGAATATTAGGTATTACAATTATTATTGTAAGCTGACAATAATAATAATATATTGGTTTACCAATAATATTGTAATATCATATTATTATTATCAAAGTTGTTCTCGTATGTACAATATATAATATAATAGGTGTACATCTCTGCAAAAGGCAATAAAACCGATACATTGGTCAAACGCGACAGTTATGAGAAAACAATAGAGCGTTTTTTTTTTTTATTTATTTTTTTTTTTTTAATATTAACTACTACAATATCCGCACCAGACTTCACGAAGACGTGCGTGCGTGAATGGCTGCTCGCTTCACACGAGATACACTATCGAGTGACTAAAAAAAATACAAGAAGACTTATTATATTTTCCTTACACGACACCCGATCACTACAGCTATAACAGTAATAATTGACGGACGAATGTAGGTAAGGACAGGCGCACACGATAAGAGCACGATATTATTAATACAAGACGTATAGTATAACCGAGTGGGCTTGTAAAGTTTCCCGCACAGCGAACTCGACCTTTAATGCGCTTGTAATAGAAAGTCAGGAGCAATTAAAAAAACAATAAAAAACATTTTATAATAAAACACACGCAATACGTTGGAATAAGGCGTTTTTTTTTCATCGACGAGAAAAGACAAAAAAAGTTATTATATTAAAAAACTATCGTGTTCACCTAAGGTTACACTCTCGAAAAGTCCTAAACCTTCAGTTTTGTACTCTGACTTTGAGTCTAAAAATACTATGTCTTCAATGTTTATACGTCCTATATTATGTCATATTTGGAGTACAAAATAATCTGTAAAAGTAAGTTAAATCAAAATATTATAATTGTTAGTGTATATTCAAAAAAAGTATAATACCTGTGAAAACGCCATTGGTAAATATGTTATATTCTATTACAACACAAATACAGGTTTATTCAGAAATTAAACATTTTCAATGAAAAATTCGTTCGGGATTAATGGAAAGTATGTTAAATACAAAACACTCATATTTGTTTATGGTTTTTATGTGTAAATCATAATAATTAGGAAAAATAGCTGCAACATTCTGTGTTATAAATATTTCATTCGTTATCAAAATAATATGAGGCCAATTATTTATTAAGAATATTACATTATTTTGCAGTTAAAAGTTGTTTAATAAATATTTCATACAAACAATTTATGTCTTAACCTTATGAAATTTTGCTGACAGATTTTTTTTTTAACCGAATAATAATTGGATTATGATATTTTATAGCGAGTGTACAATAAAACTATATTATTATGTAGAAATACTGGTTTCGATAACGCCGTTATAGCCGGTGTATGTTTTATCATTAAGCGCGGGCTTTTGCGGTACTATGTCGTGCCATGGGAAAAACTAAAAATTATTCCAGTCCGTGTAAGTATAATATTTATTTTTTTTTTTTTTTATAAGCAGTCGATGAACCATTAGCACAGCGTGATCGAGTAAGTATCAGAACAACTTGTCGTCGGAAGTCGTGGGAAGCATTAATCCGTTTTGGCTTTTTCGATACGCTAATGTCACCACCAAAAAAATATAGTGTTAAAAAATATTCTCTGCGGTTGGCCATTAATAAATTGCTGTAATATGCAAACGTCGCTACCGCACTAGTAAATTACCATTTATATTACCTACTAAAATGATAATAATTAACGCGTAGTCGACGGAATTAAAACAAGATAACGAGATACCTGATGGGCTATGATATTTTCGGACCGGTACATATTGTGCGCTGATCCTCATTTGCTGAGAAGAACTACACGAATCTTATTTCGGTTGTGCACACTAAAAATACTATCCGGAATTCGCGTTGCGAAAATCGTGACCACGTATACAGCCGGTGGACATCAAAATACTAATTTTTCTACTCTCCAAAATGTGTTTACACGGGGCATTAAGGTTATGGAAAAAAAAACCTAACAACATTACCTATGAGTATCCCGACGAATTCAGGTGACCACCCAAGGTGCAAAAAAAAAAATAAATAAAAAAACACAATCCAAGAAACCTGACGGCGAGTTTTATTTGTTATTATTCTTATTGCTGATTTTTTTTTAAAGAGACTAGAATATTGCACGGTAAAAAAAAATAAAGGCCAATTGCTAGTCTATTGTGACCGAGTTCAGGTTGCGTCACCCGCTTGTATTTTGTAGGACTACTGGTGTTAAGAGAACGGCAATAAGACGGCTATAAACGCATTCGATTATAACGACGTTGTGATGGACGAAAAGAGAGAAAGAAAAAAAACACTTGGGTTCATCCGTGACCGCTTCAGGTCTTCCCTGTGTATGTGTGTAGCGCTCAAGCGTTGGAAATCGTTTTGTACCAATATTAGTACAAGTTTAGTGTAAAAAAACATGTACAATATTAAGCAGAACGAATATAACATTGTAATGTTAAAACGATTTTACTATTGGAAGAATTTTGAATGTTTTTCGGCACGAGTTAGCTTGCATATTTTTTATATGTAATAATATAGAGTTCTACAATAATAGCAATATGATAAAACGGTTACCTATATTTTTTCATCGACTATTGATGGTCACATTCGTTCAATAATATTGTAATTACCTGAAACAAAAACGAATAAAATAAAATTAGTTTTTTCAACAGTTTATAACAAAAAGTAATTACGGAAAATGTATAACAATTAATTGGTAATCAAACTATACATTATTTTTTTAGTACTTTGTAATTGGTTATTAACTTGAACGATTGTTTTTTATTGTCAATTACAAATTACTATTTATAAACAATATTACAACACACACACAACAATTTGTCTAACTTTTTCGTCTAAACTAACTAATAGGCGGAATAACGTCTCGCTTTAGTAAGTCGAAAAATTTGACAACTTTTAGGTAACGTTTTTCGATTTTGGAAGGTATAAGCGAAGTGAACTTTTTCGATTTTAATTATTAAAAAGCGGGTTTTTTAATGTTTAGTCATTATCAAATATTTCAGAAAATTGTAGTGAAATTTGTATTAATGTAATATATGTTTTAAACAAAAAAAATGCAACTTTCAATAACTTTAATTCAATAACATAATTTGTAATGGTTACTTTGGATTTTAGCGATTATAATTTTTTTAATATTATTGCAATAAGTAATTAAATGCTTCATACATTTTTCGTACATTTATGATGGAATACAATTTTTTCGAGTAATTCAACCAATCCCCCTCATTGAATAAAACTAATTTTAAGCAATTATTTTAAGTTTTAAGGTTTTATGCTCCCCTGAACTCCGCCAAGGCAATCGGTGTTTGTATTCTGGGCGATCATCAAACAGCTGAACGGATTCTATTCAACTAAATAATATCATGTAGGTATTTCTCGTTGCTGCGGTAATGTGCCGTTTAAAACAAGCGCTCTATCTATCGGTGACAACTCAAGATACCAGAGAGTACAAGACTGGCGTGGAAGAGGCGACATCTGACGGTAAGACGAGCCAACAGCCTACGCTACACTGACGGGGCACCGTAGCGGGTGTTGCCGCGTGCAGTAATAATGTAAATTACACCCATTAAAGTGCCGTTTTCGCTTCTTAATGGCCCGTTTTTATTACCCTGTCCAGACAACTTGTGTGTGTTTATTTTCTCTCTCTCGCACTCACTACAATAATATTATTATGTAGTACGTTATATATACGTCCCATTCACTGTTTGGTTGTTTAATATACATTAAACGTCCATAACCTGGCACAATGGTCTTCTCCTTATCCCAGGCGCACACGACGGCGCTTTGCAAACAGTCGTAAATAAGCAAAATCAAATTAAAACACTATTACACCATTTACACGTGGTAGGTACACGTGTACACGCCAAACAACATGAATGGACAGACAATATGGGTATACTCGTTTTTTACTGTTCCGTGTATATTTTTTTATTTTCTCCCGGCGCCAACATTCTTGGTCCCAACGATTGTTTATGGATTTTATAAGAAGCTATAAGTATACATAAGGCACATGTGCAACTGTATGACTTGTACAATAGTCGTAGAGACCAAAAACGGCAGGCTATATTATGATAATAGATAGCTCACCCACCTAGCATGTAAACAAATACCATGAGTCACGTGATTCCAAATGAAGATTTAAGTATAAAATGTTCATACTAATAATATCGCATATTAAAATGAATTATCTAATCTGTGATAATATAGTCAGTTAACATTTAAATCTTACGGTTGATAAGGAGTTTGTCCCTAATCAGTATGTGCCAAAACCGCAGCTACCGAATATTGAGTATTCTATTTACTGTTATTAGCCAAACAACAGACTCGAGTTGAACAAATGTCGAAAATAAAAATTATACCTAATACCCCGTTGAACTCCAATAATAATATAATATATACAAAGGACACGTGTGTATAATTTAAATTTTAAATGAAATTGATCAGTATCGTTGGATATAATTTTTTTTTTTTTTTTTTCGGAGTTCGCCAACACTTCATTTCCGACACAGGTTGTGCGGTTCGGGCTACAAGCCACACCTACGCACTTCCGGTTAGGTTGTCCCCTTTTGTACAGCCGGCTGAGTGTATTATGTGTACTACACCGATTGTTCGTTTAATTATTACTATCGTTGCGCCACGGTCGGCTGACCAGATTAGAGTAGCCAAATTACAGGTTACCGGTGTTTGTGTGTGTGTGTGTGTATGTGTTTTAAACACATGCGATAAGTCCGTACCGACAGTCTTGGGGGGGGGGGGAGGAACAAGTAAAGGGGAGGTCGTCAGAGAGAGAGGAGAAGGGCAAGTCAGATGCTATCGGCGGTACAACGACGGTTCGTCGGGTGTGGTTGCCCGGCACATGTACCTACCACCCATGTTGAGCCCGTGTCGGTTGTGTTGCTCGGTGTGGGACCCTGAGGATATACGGGCCAATTCATTGTTACACCCATCCGTTTGGTTCCCAGTGACTGTTTTTTTTTTTACAAAACCAATCAGTCCGCGTTCGACAAACTTAAATCGGTACAGTTGATATAACGTAGCTCGTCGTCTCTTGCAAAATAGCCAGATCTCGACTTTAATCGACGACCGAGTAATATTGGAAAACGAAGAAAATACTAAACAAATTCATTGAAGCACAGGCGCGACTAAGGGGACGCTAGGGAGACTTCAGCACTCTCTTCAGAGAAAATTAGCACCCCCCCCCCCCAATCCTGGGTACATACTCTGTTCAAACTTTTTATTTTAGAATATTTTTGTTTTTTAATATTTTATATCTAACGGTTTGAAAATAAGAGTTGAAGGGGTCAGTATTTAATGTACTTCGAAATAAAGGTGTTAACTGACATTTTTGAAATTGGTCTATGCATTAAGTTGCGAGAATCATAATATTATTTAAATAAGTCATATTGTAAAAGTTATAATATGACATAATAATTGATGGGGGTAGTGTTTTCTCCTTTGCCCTCTCCTCTGTCAAATCATTCAAGTGCTAAAGAGCTTTGCTTTTTTGTTTTACATAATATTGTCAAACTCTCAAAAACCCAATACGTCACACGTTGGTGTGAACAGGGAACAGCTATTAGTGTGCTATCTGCATGATTTGTTTTATGATACCGTCATATATATTTTATATTGTATATTCCATACGGCATTTCATTCTGGCGTTTGCACACTAAATATATTGGAATGCGTACTGCAGTGTCCGTGTGATATAATATAATATATTAATGTACATGGCCACACAATAGGTATGTAGAACGGTCATTGGATGAATTATTATATGGTACACGCCGAATTATTATTATTAAAAACTAACCCACGGCCGCCGTCCCCTTCTCTACACAAATACGTCGTGATATATAACAGTAATAATAATATTATTATTCAATTGACCGAAAGCGAAATAATAATAATAAAACGTAATAGCTGTTGTCGACGGCCGTTGGAACGGCAATAAAAAATAATACTTGAGCAATGATACTACTGCGGTAAACATCATATTATTGTTGGATCGACCTGCTGTGTAATTGATACATCAGCAGAGAAAATTAAAAAATCTGTCATAAAAAAAAATGTTTTTCAAATTTGTATATACATTATTAATATGTTACCCATGTGTTTGAGATGAAAAAATTCTACCTTTTGAGTCCGTCAGGCTTTTAATGAATAATATATGCCCTTTAACTAACTCAATTATGTATTCTTCTAATCTAAACCGTATAAAGAGTAGGTAACCCGCCCTTCCCCCCACTCCGTTTAACTCTCTTCGGATTCGTTGGCCGCCTTTGACGGTATTACACAGGTAATAAAAGCTAAATCAGGGTAGAAACTAGAAATCGAGACACGGTTTCCGAGCTTGTATATATTATTTTATAATAGATCCTACCCGCGTGCTACACAGCTGGTAGGTATATGTACATACTTTGTCGATGAATCTTTATTAGTAATTTAGTAATAGCGGGGAACGAAATGGAAAACGCCATTCCTCGTGTGGTACGATCAGGCGACCGACAACCTAACACACACACACACGGACCTATATATATATGTATACATAGGTATATATATATGGAGTCGCGGCAAGTATATTATAAGTCTTTATATAGCAAAGGCGATATTTACGACCTGCGGGCACGCGAATTTGATTCTAAACACGGATAAAAAAAAAAAAAACACCGGTGCCCGTCGAGGTGGAATACCGAGGGGAAAATTGTGTTTTTGGATATATAGGTACAACCGAAGACCTAGGGGGAGGGGGGAAGGGAGGTACGAGAAAATAATAATAATTACCGGGTTCTGAAAGCCTTGCGTTGATTCTGCAAACACGCATGTTGTTGCTTGCACGTGAAGTGAAGCCGACATAACGTTGAAAAAAACAACAACAACACAAAAAACGACAACGCGGTGGTGGAAAACGTACACCCCTAGGAAATTATTATTACTAGGTATTGTTATTATACCTATATGTGTGTACACGAGCAGAGGGATTGATGTGGTATTCTTATGGATAAAATAATTTATTATATTCTAGGCGTCTGGGGAACGGCGAACAGATCAATATATACTGTCATAAATATGGCGGGGCCACGCTATATTATTATTATTATAATATGCCCCGCAATGTCGTTTTTGAAAGGCGGTGCCTCCGCGAATCGTCCGACCTTTGTACACAATGCCGGTGTGTAAACGCACCATGTTGTTATAATAATGATATCCTATTGCCAATAGTGTAATATATATATATATATATATATATAAATTGAAAATGGGCTAATGCGAAATCGTGTGTTGAGCGATGGCGATTTTGGTGTTATATTCTCCTATAGCTATATTGTTACTTTACTTTCTGCGTTCTAAACTAGAAAATCAATTCCACAACTCGCCTATGTGATAGAATAAGAAATAAATACTAAAGTGGGGGGAGTCTAGGAGTTGCATCAATTGTGCGAAAAATGAGAGCGAACGGGTCGAGATGGTTAATGGATAATTAATTTTAACTCGTATAGTTGCATTTAATTGTAGTTATCAAAAAAAAAAACTATAATTGCTAAAACTGTTAAAGGAAAAAAATCACGACTATCTAATTACAAAGAAACATAATGTTCTATTAACG